GACCTATATATATATATATATACATACATACCTGTATATATGTATATATAGGTCACAAAACTTATTTTCTTTTCATTTATTTCCCGCGCAGAGTAGTTTTTTGCATATATTAGCCTTGAAAACGCTTAGTAATGCCCGCTCTGATTTTTTCCGAGTCTGACCTGCAAAGAATCGAGCAAGCTCAGCAGCCGGTGAAGTCGGTAACTGAGAAAGGTTGCTTGTGCAGGATATGAGCTTTTTAACGGTTTTTTACTCAACTACACTGCCAATTCAACTGCTATTCAACAGAGCATCAACATGGGGGTCGGTGGTTTTAGATACTACATCACGTCCTCTGCATAACGAATTTGCTGCGTTAACTGGCCCGGTAAGAAAAGACGATAAACCGGTTCATGCCAGTGTTCGAGCATACGTAAGTATTCAGCCGATCCATGCTATTGTTCCGACTGAGATGCGTGTAAGATTTAGCAGCAAAACGCTGAAACTGTAAGTTGCTTCTGCAGTTGACCGGCTAGACGCTTTGCTAATATTTGACTGCTACTGGTTGTGTTGTGGCGTGGTATTGCAGTGTAAACAATGTTTTGCACCGGATATGCTGTCCTGTTTTTAAAACCATATGCGATTAGTTGTAGAGGTTCGCAATCCCTGCGAAATAGAGTGAATTCTGCTAATAAACGAGCGACTCGATTTGCCAATCCCATGCTTTATACAGCTTGCGGCAATGAGACTGATATTTGTTTCACAGTCATCCGCTACTGGTGCTTTTTTCTGTAGATATGCGGTAAGCGCAGCTTTCTCCTTTTTTTCCTTTTCATTTACTGCCGTGCTCATTAACTTGTCATAAATGATGCAAAATCTAGCGATGAAAAGATACGGGGAGAAATTTTAACTCGTATTCTTTCTGCGACATACTTGGCACTCAGACGATTCAATGAAAACCCCGTAGCCTTGACGGAAATCAGGATTAATGGAACAGGTATTAGCTTCGATATCAGATGTTGACAAGAGCTCTAGCTCGTAGTTGCAGTGCCCATCAGCTGCGTTGTTTTGCTTGTGAAAATAGTTGCTTCGTTTTCACAATAGTTGCTTCGTTTTCTCAACCTTTTGTTTCTTGGCTACAAGAAGTCTATATCAGACGCGCCAAAGCCTGTCCGACAACTGCTGCTTCTACTGTAGTAATTCGTTGAAGACATTTGCCAACGATGCAAACCATGCCAGTGTTTCTCCTTCTTTGAAACTCATAACTGTATTTATAATTATTTTAGCCCAGGTTAACTATCACTTCTAATTCAATCGGTGATGGTGTCTACATGCAGTGTTTTTGCTCCATTGACCTCCTTACAATCTTTCTAGAATACTAATTACGGTGATACCAAGGGAACCGTTTATACAAAATTCTGGTTTTTAGACATATAGGCATGTGCGTGTTATTGTTGCGTTATATATTGTAAATCTTGAGTTGTCAAAAAATCGTTTGGTTGCTTTTCTATCGACGATGACAGTATTCTCAAAGTGTGCTCGATATCCACTGATCGTCGTAGCGACGTCTAACGTTTTAAGGTTCTCCCTTCAAAGTGCTTGCACTCGATCCTAGCAAAGTCTCGGTCGTGAACAGCAGCGGCCGAATATCGCTAAAGGCGGCCGAGGAGAATGAGCTCCGAATCGATGCTACGAACGCTGGTCCTGGATTTCTGAAGGCCGATGCAAGAGGCCCGTTTGGCAAAGTGCCGGTAACAATAATTCAGGAGAACAGCACTGCCTACCGGCTATCGTTTACGCCTGTTGACGAA